TCCTTCCTTCCTTCCTTCCTTCCTTCCTTCCTTCCTTCCTTCCTTCCTTCCTTCCTGGGGTGTCTGTGGGGGGTGGGGGGTTAAAAAAGTCAAAATAGTGGCCACAGCCATGCAGCAAACCCCACCCCTTTTTTGTGCATCACATGTGGGACTCATTAGAAATGGGTGTGGCTTTGATGGCTTAGCCTTAGCTACCATCTTAACTTTTTTGACCCCTACCCTGCAGATGCCCTTCCTTCCCACAGTAATTCATTCTTCCAGTCTGCCTGCCAGCCCACCTGCCTCTGCTGGTGTCAGCCTTGCAAGGTAGCCCAGGCAGGAAGCACACCCAGATGAGCTAATTCTACTTTATTGTGAGGTTAGATTAACAGACTCTTGCAAGTGTGAAAGTACATTTCTCCCCTGTTCTCTATACAGCCCAAGAAAGTAGGGAGGGTTCTTTCTGAGACGCTTCCTACACCCCCATTCCTGCTGTGGGCTAAGCTGCCTCTTATCTGACCATTCTGCTGGCTGTGGCTCTTCCCCCTGTCTCCCAAGGTCATTCCCACAGACCATGATAGCTGGGTAATCCTACAGGGTTTGCATCTTTCTGCTTTCAGGGTTCATGGATCTTACGAGCAGCTCTGGGCAGGCCAGGTTGCTGACGCCCTCGTTGACCTGACCGGAGGCCTGGCGGAACGCTGGTCCCTGAAAGACCTGAGCCAAAACACTGAACGAGAGAGGGCGGGCAAAGTCTTGGAGAAGGCAGTGTTCAGGCGGTTGATGAACCTGAAGGAGAAATGCGTGATGAGTTGCTCGGTCTTTAGCTCACGGCAAGGTAGGGGAAGGGGAGAATTTTGCAGAGCCCCTTCTGTCTCGCTGGTCTCATGTCAGTCCCACCAAGTAGGCCAGATCTGGAAATCAACTCCACAGGAAGGCTAAAACTATTTTTATGGAGATTGGCTCTAATGACAGAATTGTGCAAGGCTGATGGTGCTGTAGCAACTCCTTATACTCCAGATGGGTGGACTTCAAGTTCCCAAGGTTGAGAAACACTGTTCCAGTAAATCAGGGAGGTGTCTGCCCAAGCTACTTCCAGATGTTATCTTGTTTCTCCAGGCTTAAAAAGTGTTTCAGCCCCTTTTGCCTAGGTCATGGTCCTTGCATATTTCTGTCAAGGTCATTTTCTTTAGTCTCTCCACCTCCCACACAAGCCATTTCTCTTTTGCATTACACTAGAGACAAAGCACTTTATTAACCCCTCTCTTGTCCTTCTGCTTTTCTTGGCCCATCAGGAGAAATGTCCTTTTTCATCCCTGGTTCCAAGCTTTTAATCCCTGGTCTAATTTCATCTCTTTACTTCTTTTCTCACAGTGATCTATCCTCCCCCCTCCCCTCCCCTCCCCTCCCTTTTTCTTTCTATTTCTAATTTAATGCCTAATGCGAATTTGAAATGACTGTGCTCCTTTTCAATGCATTGTATTTCCAAGGTGGGCTTTTTGCTACAAGAAGAAAGTCAAATACAATGACTCTAACTAAAACTGAGCCCTAGGTATAACCAGCAGTGGCATTATTATTACCAGTAAAAGTATTTGATTGAAATCTAAGCATGGTTCTGCATAAATAAACTAATGAGACTTAAGAATCCCTAACCAAGATCTAATCTAGTTCATTGGGTTTTCTCAAAGTACAACCAAGGGTGGATATCATGCATTAAACTTATTGCTAAATAATCCTGTGGATATAAATTATAATAACGGGCTGGTGTTTTCAGAGTCAGACCAGAAGGGAGCTCACAGTCATTCCACATCAAAATTCACTACTGGTTAAGTCCACCTTTCATCAGGGCCACCTAAGTTAAATGGAAAAAGGCAGTTTACCAGCCTAGTGCAAAGCCCTAATAAATCCCACGCTTTCTCCGTGTAGCTGCTTACCATACATACTCACGGATAAGTCCATCTGCGGATATGACAATCCTCAAATTTTTAACCAAAATAGCCTGAAAAATGTGCTACTTGCGGATAAGCTGACCTTGACATTTTCGTATGTTTTAATTTTCACAATCGTCTATCCGCGGGTGGTGCATTTTTCATGGTATTTGGTTAAAATTTCGAGGGTCGGCTTATCTGCAGATGGGCTTATCCACGAGTATATATGGGATATACCTGTAGTTTAAAAAAGTATTACCGTATATATTTGCAGATAAGCCCATCCACAGATAAGCCAAACCCACTTTTTTTGACGTATTTTGGCGCCTAAAGTTCTCAGCTTACCCGTGAGTACATACAGTATCTAGGGTAGCAAGTGCAGGCCTAACAACTGCCTTTACACTGCGTGCTGATCTTGCTGAACATTATCCTTGGTTATTCATTTATTTATTTACTTAGTTGTTTAGTGTGTTGTGTGAACTTGGCCCTCTTGAGTTTAGTTTACAGTTCATTGTGTTGTGCAACCCCCACCTCACCCCGCCCATGAGTGAATTCAGTCACCAGGTTATGGATGATTTTTGGCCAATTTATGTTCTGGATGCTCCTGTCAAGGGCTGGATGACGCCGGTAGGTGGAGACTATCATCCCTGAAGCCCCGCCCCCATTCTAGAGCCCCTCCCACCACCACGTAGCTTCCCAGGAGTTCCTGGGCCTAATTTGAGCTCTCTGGAATGGGATGAAATGGTGGCTATCAAGTTGTCTCTTTTCTGCACATCAGGGACCAGCCAGCTGGGGGAGTTCCACGCCTTCATTGTTGTCGACATGCAAGACCTTTCCAAGGTGTCCAGGAAAGAGACTGTCCTGCTGCGGATCCGGAATCCCTGGGGGAGGCGCTGCTGGAAAGGGCCCTGGAGGGAGGGGTGAGTGGGCCATCTTTTGAGTCCAGCATCTACAACAGTGTTTCTCAACCTTGGCAATTTTAAGGTGTGAGGACTTTAACTCCCAGAATTCCCCAGCCAGCATGCTGGAAATGGTCTGGAAATGGATGTGGGTTGGCCAACCATGCTGGCTGGGGTATTCTGGGAGTTGAAGTCCACACATCTTAAAGTTGCCAAGGTTGAGAAACACTGGTCTATGAGAAAAACTTCAGCCCTCTGTGGCATGTCACTGGCTGGTATCCTTTACAGCAAGGCACTCCCTGGGCAAATGTGATGTCAAAGCCATTTGTTCTGAAAGCACCACTTGTAGGACTTTGTTAGAACTTTTCAAAAGAACCCCCTTCTAGCCAGATGCCTAACAGTTATCGAGAGAGCAGCTCTGCCGATGGTGGCCAACCCACATCCATTTCCAGACCATTAAGCACAGCAAATTTTGGCCCTTCTCTTTCATCAAGCCAAACTAGACCTGAAGAGAGAAACTCCCACAACCTGGCTGGCAGCATCTACAGAGAGCTGAGGGTCCTCCAACTCAGAGCTGCCGTTTTAACCCCCTTCCCGCAACGCTCCTGTTGTAGCTCCTCTTTGAAAGTCTCACGGTTCCCTTCAAGGGATGCCAGATGGAGGCCGGGGAATGGGGACCCTTGTGCGAAGGAAGTTAAACTTCTCAATCACCTGGCCCTACACCCAGCATGGTTGCTGTTGGGTGGCCCCATCAGTGAGGACCACCAGTCCCTCTCAAACTTAGCCCTAATCTTTTAGGACAGTGTTCCTCAACCTTAGGAATTTTAAGATATGTTGACTTCAACCTTAGGACCTTTAAGATATGTGGACTTTCAACTCCCAGAATTCCCCAGCCAGCAGTGCTGGCTGAGGAATTCTGGGAGTTGAAGTCCACACATCTGAAAGTTGTCAAGATTGAGAAACACTGTTTTAGGACCTTAAATCAAGATTGCAGTGCTGAAGAGAAAGAATGGAGTTCTTCCAGCCACATCCTGGTTCTTGATGAAAATACCCCACTCATACCCAGTGGCACACCCACTTACACACTTACAAACTGCCATATTGGCCTAGTGGTGCTTAGTAACCGTATTGATATTCATGCTGGTTTCTGGTCTTCAGAGGTCCAGGATGGAATCAGCTGGATCCTGTGGTGGCTGCTGAACTTTTGTCCCAGATACAGGAAGGAGACTTTTGGGCTGAAGAAGAGGAATTTTTCACGGAATTTGATGAGGTCATCACCGGTTACCCAGTCACGGAAGAAGGGCAACTTCAGAGCCTTTACACTGGTACGCGGTGCTGGCAAGGGGGCAGTTTTTAAGGGAAAGGGCCTTGTGGCAGAATATTACTGTTTTCTTTAGACTCCTCCTCTGTCTTGCCTGCAAGAAAAGTCATTTTGAACAGGGTCATGACTCTTGAGCAGCAGAGTGACGCGGTGGGTGTCTTTCCTCTCCTGACAGACAGAGTGCTGAGCCACACACAGAAACTGTACGGATCCTGGGTGCGGGGACAGTCTGCAGGGGGTTGCCGTAACAACAGCACCTTCCCAACGAACCCCAAATTCTGGCTGAGAGTCTGTGAGCAGAGCGAGGTGTGCATCGCCCTCCTACAGAAACCCCGAAAGCACAGCACAGATTGGGCTGGCAGAATTCGGTCCTGGCCTCGCTTCCTGGAGGCGGAGCCTTCCTTGGTGGATGGCGTCCGAGGGAAGAACTACCATGCCGTGGGCTTGCACATATGGAAGGTAGGAAAGATGAGCTGGGCACAGAGGCAGACAAGTCCTTTCCGTTTTCCGGGAAGTAAGGTTCTAGTCCTCAAGGTGGCTGAGAGAAATGAATCCAGAAGAATGCTTGAAGCCCTTGGTTGACCTTTCCAGTTTGAGGATGGAATTGGAATAAGAATATTGTGATGTGTCTCGGGAGTTTTGGCATCTGAATAAATGTGCTGTTGAAGTTGATAGTACGTAATTAGCAAACACCTATTTAAGTTTTGCTTTTCCTTTAAGTGGGTAGGTGAGCCAGAGGTCTTGACTAACCAAATGAATTTTGCAGCCAGTGAGCACTTGAATCTAGTGATTTGGTTGGAGTTCAGTTAATCCAAAGCTGCCTAAAATGCACACAGTAACAGTAATCTTCCAGGCTGGGGGGGAGTCAAAAAAGTCAAGATGGTGGTTGCGTGATTAAAGCTCCTCCCATTTTTAATGTGGGAGTGGTGATGTATGCATGTTAAAAAAAAATGAGGCTGCAGTCAAATGGTTGCAAGTGCCATCTTGACTTTTTTGACTTCCCTTGTGGACGCCCCTGTCTCCAGACCATCATCCATCTGCCCTTTGTGGATCATAAAATGCCATCTATTCTCTTTCCTCGAGGATTCTTACTGCAATTTCAGGTACTTGGGGAAGGATGGCCTTACTCCCCCCACAGGTTTCACCAAGCATTTGGCTTTAACCTCTTAGGGGTGATGCAAGAATATGTCATGTGAACAAACCCCCAAAATTAAATATTGTACAACCGTTTCGAGGCAGTGAAGGACAGGAAGGCCTGGCGCAATATGGTTCATGGGGTCATGAAGAGTCGGACACGACTTAACGACTAAAGAACAACAACAACCGTTTCACCAAGCTAAAAATCCCAAAATGTAATCCATCAGCTCATATAACTGACCAGAAGAGCGTAAGAAAACTTAACCTACATAAATCACATTGAAAGCAATAACCAATTAAATGTCCCAAAAGAGTTAAACACACTTTGTGCCAGAAATGACATTAAAGTAGGTTCTGGCATTGCCTCTCTGCAAGAGTTTTCCTACAGTTTTCTTTGATGCCATTGATTAATACCCAGGGACAGTCTTCTTTGTGGTCCTGCAGTGGTCTGTGGAAATGACCTTGGGAGACAGGAGGAAGAGCCACAGATGGGACAACCGGCATGTAAAAGATATCTCAGCCCACAGAAGGAGGAAAGGCATGGGAAGCATTTCAGAAGGGGTCCTCCCTAGTTTTTCAGAGAGCAAAAGGAAAGGAAATACTTTCAGTCTTGCAAGGTTCTGTTAATGTAAACTTCCAATAAAGATAGAGTTAGTACTCCTGGTTGTGCTTCTTGTCTGGACTACGTAGCAGGGCTAACGGGTCCGCCCTCTTGGGATTATTCTTTCTTTGTTGGCCCTGAGGAGGATTTGAAAGATTAACTCATCCTGATCTGTCTTTAAGAAGCATTAGCATCCAGTGCATTTAAGTCATGTTTTGGTCTACTGTTCTTATTTATTTTATTTTATTTATTTTATTATTGATTTGCTAGATTTATATCCTACCTTTTCTGTGGGTGCGCGAGGTTGCACTCCCTCCTCCCACTTTTCCCCGATGACAACAACCCTATGAGGTAGGCTGGACTGAGTAAGCATGTCTGGCCCAAAGTTATCCACGGAGTTTCCATAACTGAGGGTGGACGTGAATCTGGGTCAATCCAACATCTTAACCACTACACTACCCAGACACTTTTATCGTTATAGTTTATTACTTATGGACCAATTTTTTTCTGTAGAGTTTAGCTATCCATTTTGCCTTTCTAAGTTGCAGTCTACTTTGTGGGTTATTTGCCCCTACTCCCACTCCCAGAAGCAAGATACAAAATCTGCCAAAATAAACTTTGGCTGACAGGGCTGGGGAAAACAAAGGCAGGGATTCTTCAGGGAATCTGGTCCCTAAGTTATGAAAGTTGTCAAAAGACAAAACTCATAGTTTAATTGGGTCTGGAAATGGACTGAGAACAATCATAGTATGTACAGGCTGGAAGGGATCTTGGAGATCATTTAGCGCCATCCAATACAGTTGGCATAGCAACGGTGGCATGGGCTCTTGTTGCTCAATCAAGCAGCCATCTCCTGAAGTATCCAGGGCTTCTTCAATGAATGCCTTGTTATCAGTGCCTCTTTAATTTTGAGCACAAAAGGGGATCTCAGAGGGTGTTTTGGTGGCCAACTGGGCTGGAATTCAGGACCAAAGTATGAACAGCCTTATGAGGTTGACGCAAATATGTATATTCCTGATGTGCTTTAAAATCCAGACTCTGGTTTCTCATTTTCTAAAATAATGCTATTTTCCACACCTACTGTATGTATTCAGTGCTGTGCTGTTGCTCCTCTCTTCCAGATTGAGAAGAAACAGTTTAACCTTCCAAAGACTCTCTCTGCTCCCCCAGTTTCAAGCACAGCATGTCATTCTTTCAACCGAGAGGTGCACCTTCATTGTGACCTTTCTCCTGGGTACTACCTGGTTGTCCCCAGCACTTTTCTGAATAATGCTGAAGGAAACTTCCTGCTTCGGGTGTTCTCCAGTGGAAGAATTTCTCTCAGGTATATCCAGCAAAAGGCAAATATGGGGTGAGGGAAGTTGGAATGGGGAAGAGAAATGTGGACACTTGAATTAAGGGAAACTACAATGTATGGAACTAGATCTTTGGTTCATGATCTCACTACTGGCAACATCTCTTCATATATTCAGGTACAGGATCTCTTCCAGGCCAGACCGGACCTTTCTGCTTCTGCTTGCGAAATGAGTGCTCGCCCTCTAAATTTCAGCCCTGGATAATCTGAAAAGGCCTCAATTTGCTACATTTTGGTTCTTTCCCCCACCTGTGCTGCCATGATCTGAGCAATGGTTGTGTTGTTACTGCAGAACCAATCAAGTTTAGCTTCAGACCAAAATATTACTGCAGAATTTTCCTATGAGGTCCTTCCCCTTATATTTAAAGGCTTACAAGAAGCTTTTATTGAGAAGCCTCAGGAGGCTTTGGGACTCAAGCCTGCACTAGGTGGGCTAGGAATGATGAGAGGCCTAAAAAATGGCAGATGTTGAGTTACAAACTTGCATTGGTGAAATAAAATGCTAAGAAAAAGTGGAAAATTTTCAAGAGCCAGGTAATATCAACTATTATGAAAGTATTGTGAAATATTTAGAGGCCATATATTACATCTTCCTTTCCCACCAAGGTGGGGCTGCCATTGAGGAGGCTCTGTCTCCAACTCCTGTTGATTTGATGGACCTCAATGATGCAGGAGGAAGGAAGCCAGTCTCAGGAGCTGAGTAGGTTTTTGTGGATGTTAAGACCTTGTCTGCCCTCACCCATCTCAAAACTTCCTCCAGACTTTCATTTGAGGTTTCTATTGCCTTCTCAAGATCAGTAGATGGAAACGAGAAGCAGAGCCATTTTTGATCTGCCTCCTGATAGTAGCTACTGCCCTAACTTAAGACATCTCTTCTTTGCCATTCCACGTAGATGACAGAAAGCAAAGAGAACATGGAAAGCTACTGCTTGTGATGTTTTTGAAGCTGGTATTCTGACTAGAGAGGCCACATGGTATATAACTTCTCTTTCTTCTCCCCTTTCTGCCACCCATTTTCCCCATCTTCTCTTTCTCCTGAAAGTGAGATCAAACTGCCGGTGCCTGATAACACCATCCATGAAGAGTTTCCAGGAGGCGAGTGGGAGACGGCTCATCTAGAGGGATCTTGGAGAAAAGGACAGAATGCAGGGGGCAGCAGGAATTTCCCCTCCTTCCACACCAATCCATGCTTCCCTTTGTCTGTTCCTGCTGGGGTTGGGCAAAGAAGTGTCAAGGTCGCTCTCCGCCAGCATTGCCCAGATAACAAGTGCCGTCCAATTGGGTTTCATATCTTCCAGGTGACATTTAAGTTCATGGTTGTTGATTGAATTAGACCTTCTTTCTCAGATATTCACAATGTTGGAAAGGGGTCTTTTCGCTAGTTGGGGTATATAAATTGCTAAGAGACCAGCTGCTGGCCATAGAAATATATGAATAGGCCTGGTGGATCAGGCCAAGGCTTGTTTCAGACCAGCATTTTGTTTCTTACAGAAGCCAATCAGATGCCTCTGGGGTACTTGCAAACTTATGATGGCTATCTCTCACCTACTGTTGTTCCCCTGCAACTAGGGTTTGGAAGCATGATGCCTCCAACCTAGAAGTTACACTGAGCTCTTAAGACCAAAGACAGCCCTTGATAGACCTGTCCTCCATGAATTTATCAGGTCCCCTTTCACAGCCTCTTAGGTTCGTGGTCATCACCAAGTCTTGCAGTAACAGATTCCACAGGTTGATTATGTGCTGTGTGAAGAGCACCTGCCAGTCAACCTGGCAGAATGAGAAATTAGACTCACTATCGCACTGGCCTAAGCATTCTGGTTTTGCATGTTGCAATAAGCCATAATTAGTTGAGCCAACCCTCCCAATTCTGGATTATTCAACATGCTAAACCATAATCCATGGACAATTGAACAGACTAGCTTATATCTTAGGGTGATGTGAATCAGGCCAGTGTTCTTTAATAAGAAAGCAAAATTCTACTACTGTAGACCAGATCATTTAGCCCAGACTTGGGCTTCCTAGAGTGCTTCTAGAGGCCCTACAGAAAAGTCCAAGGAAGGTAAGAGTTCCTGCCCACATTTTGACTTCACCATGATCTACAGTGCTAAATGGGCCATGTGCTTTGCTAACCACAATTCAGAAACTTACCCATAATTTGAACTTGTAAATGGACTTTTCTACTTTAGTTCCTCTTCTTCTCAGCATCCCCATCTTTATAATGGGAAACCATGGACTGCACTGTGCTCTTTTGGTGGTCTGTGCATTCAGACATGACAGCAAAACATGTAACCTGTGATTTTCAAACCAGCTTCTAACCATGGCTTCAAATCCTGATTGCCAGCTGTGAAGCAGCAGCTGTCTATGGGCAGGATCTGAGTTCACGTTATGAGTGAAACCCACCCGTTGATGGGAAGGGGGGGGCAGGATATCCAAAACATAAATTGAAATTGCAAGGAAGACTTCCTAATTTCTTTTCAGGTTCCGAGTGACAACAACCGTGTGAAAATGCCTTCCACGTCTTTCCTCCAGTTGGAGCCGGTGGTTAGCTGTGTGCCTCATTGTTACTCCCAGGAAGTAAGTCAGATGTGCCGACTGCCTTCTGGAAATTATGCCGTTGTCCCATCGACATACTTGCCTGACACCGAAGGCAGTTTCACAGTGATCGTAGCAACGAAAATAGACAGGTGAGAATATGCTTGATGGCCATTCAGCGACTTAACCTTCCTCAACCTTATCTATCTATCTATCTATCTATCTATCTATCTATCTATCTATCTATCTGTCTGTCTGTCTGTCTGTCTGTCTGTCTGTCTGTCTATCTATCTGACTTATCCCCTCCCGTCTCGCCGCAATGGGGGACTCTGGGCAGTTTACAACAAATTAAAACAAATAAATACATAATTAAAATTTATAAAAAAGAAAAACACATTTACAAAAAATGGAAGGAAGAGAAAAAATCCAGGAGGCCGATGGAAGGAACAGCAGGCCTCTAGGGGGCTAGCCAACCCCATTTCTGATGACCTCCCTCCCCACCCCAGGCCAGATGACAGAGCCAGGTCTTCAAGTCCCTCCGAAAGGCCAGGAGTGAGGGGCCTGTCTGACCTCAGGGGGCAAGATGTTCCAAAGGGTGGGGGCTACAGCAGAGAAGGCCTGCCTTCTGGATCCCGCTAGTCGGAGTTCTTTTGCCGAGGGGGTTCAGAGCAAACCCTCTTTGTGAGATCGGGTGGGACAGGTTGAAATCGTGGAGGAGAGGTGGTCCCTCAGGTAACCTGGCCCCATGCCATGTAGGGCTTTAAAGGTGATAACCAACACCTTGAGTTGGACCCGGAAGCAAACTGGTATCCAGGGCAGCTCACGGAGCAAAGGTGTTATATGGGTCCTTCTTCGGACCCCAAAAATACCTTGCGTGGCTGCATTCTGGACCAGCTGAAGCTTCCGGATACTCTTCAAGGGTAGCCCCATGTAGACCACATTGTACTAGTCTATCTGGGAGATAACAAGGGAATGAGTGACCATTCGAAGGGCATCCCGATCCAGGAAAGAGCGTAACTGGCGCGCAACCCGGAGCTGTGCAAAAGCCCTCCTGGCCGCGGCTGCCACCTGCTCTTCGAGCAGGAGCCGTGAGTCCAGGAGGACCCCCAAATTACGCACTGGGTCTCTCTAGGGCAGTGCTACCCCATCCAGCACCAATGATATTCCCTCTGTTGCGGCAGCAGCTCTGAGTATACCCATCCAACCAAAGCCCAAGCTGGCTGAGAATTTAGGGGATTTTAATCCCAATTTTTCTGGAGCACTCCAAGTTGTTTGAAAGGTACTCTAGATCAGGGTTTCTCAACCTTGGCATCTTTAAGATGCATGGACTTCAACTCCCAAAATCCCCTAGCCAGCACAGAGCCAGTCCTCTTCAGTGGCACTGTGAGATTGGTACAAGATAACAGCAAAGAGAGAGAGAAAGAAAGGATTGCCTTCTTGTTAGTCATCATGAAAATGAGCTTACAGAGAAATGTAATTCTGAAATTGGGTTCATAAATTATGCTAAGCCATGATTTGTTTGGCCAGAATTGATTAATCTTTATTGCCTGACCATTTTTTAGTAGTTCTTGTTTACAAACTCTGGTGGCTGGATTCATACAACAGGTTAATACAGTATTTCTCAAGCTTGGCAACTTTAAGATGTGTGGATTTCAACTCCCAGAATTCCCCAGCCAGCATGCTGGCT